CACGCAGGTGGCTGCGATCTACTCCAGGGCTCGCTGCAAGAGGTGGGCTAGGGAGCTTTGAAGAAGCGCCATGACTTAACTCCGTCGAATTATTATGTCTTAGGGCAGTGGTGGTATCGCAAAGAGCTTCAGGTTAGATAGATTTATTGCTAACCCTGAGTAGATAACAAAGGCAGCGTGTGCCTGAGGACGGCTTTAGCAGTGACACCTGGCTGTTTCTGCTTCCGACATAACAACAATGACTAATTTGGGCTGGAACTCCTCACTCGAGGTTGTGTAGTCCAAGAGGCTGCGTGCCCAGTGTGAGTGCCCAGCAAAAACACAAGGAAAGGGTGCAGGAACAGGAGACGTCTGGCAGAACTTGAAAACTGATAGTTTAGTTTGACTTTTTTACTTGTTTTCGGTTTTGATTGTGTTTTTTTTAACTTTTTTTACTTGTTTTGATGTTTTTTTCCTTAAAGAACAGAACTAACTGTTCTCTTATTTCTCATATATAAGTGCTGGTCTCTTTTGGAAGTGCGTTTCGGAAGTTACCATATTAATCATAAACTTACTGACTACATCAAAGCACTTTCTTATGAGTGGGGCAGAAGACACAGTCTTGCCTGTTAGCTTCCTGTGTGCCAGTGTGATTCAAGCTCTCTTTAAAACTTGCAACACTGAAGAGCCAGATATTGCTGCAGTGAAAAGCCCAGCAAAGTAGTTATGTTGTGCTGCCTCTTTGTCTGGTGTTCTCTCAGTGCCAGTGCTGGGCTTTGCAACCTTAAAGGTGACTTGCAGGTTTCTGTGTCTGGCCCTTAACATTTTTGTCTCTCAGAGATAGCAATGACCTTTTGTGTCTTTCTTTTGTAGAACATGACTTCAACTGTTAAGGACTTTCCAGAAGACAGCAACCTTTCGCCAAAAGCCAGCACTAGCAAACTGCCAACAGATGCATCTCCTGACTCTAAATGCCCCATCTGCTTGGACAAATTTGACAATGTTGCCTATCTTGATCGCTGCTTGCATAGGTTTTGTTTCCGCTGTGTCCAGGAGTGGTCAAAAAACAAAGCAGAATGCCCTCTCTGCAAGCAACCCTTTTTTTCCATTTTTCATACAATTCGCGCTGAAGATGACTTTAAGGAGTATGTACTCAGCCCTACAGAAGAGAGCTCTTTTGCCAGCCCTAATGGCCAGAGATTTCGTTACCGTACCACCTTAACAGGGGAACGCCGTGCTGGCAGTTCCCCTTCCCGAAGGATGCTGTCTCCTCTGCCTTCCCGAAGGATAATGTCTCCTCCAGATAACGGGATATTGTTTGAAGGGCTGTCAAGTGAACCGGTGCGGCAGAGGGACGGAGAGATTCAGCAGATGATAAGGAGGCTGGCCTCCAGGAGGCAGGCCAGTGCAGAGGGCAGATCTCTGCGGCAGATTCAGGAGGAAGACATGATCAACTTCCGCAGAGCTTTGTACCGTACTGGTGTGCGTATTCGTAGTATTCAGGATGGTGGCCGTTACCGAGACATTTCTGCAGAGTTTTTCCGCCGCAACCCTGCTTGCCTTCACCGGCTGGTTCCTTGGCTGAAGCGAGAACTTACAGTCCTGTTCGGTGCTCATGGATCTTTGATAAATTTTGTGCAGCACATTATCATGAGTAATGTGACTAGGTATGATCTGGAAAGTCAGGACTTCGCTGACGATTTAAAGCCATTTTTGCTGAATCGGACTGAACACTTCTTACATGAATTCATCAGTTTTGCCCGTTGTCCTTTTAACTTAGAAGCATATGATCAGCATGCCAATTATGACTGTCCTGCACCATCATACGATGAAGGAAGCCGCTCAGACTCGTCAATTATTACCATATCTCCAGATACGGCATATTCTCAAGGGCCAGATAACAGTTTGTCTATGACTGGTCTTAGTCAGGCCCCCTGGGATGATGAAACTCCAGGGCCTTCCTATTTCTTTTCAGATTCGGTTCCTGCAGGCATAGATACTCCTCTGGAGGCATCAGAAAGCTCTGATGAGGACTCTGCTACAAAGAGTCAAAGAACCAAGCTGCAAACTGAGTTACAGGCTAATGCTCCCTCAAACAAGAGTGACTCTTCCTCGGACAGTTGCATTATTGTTGGGTATGTTAAGCCGTTAGCTGAGAGGACGCCAGAAGTGGTTGAGCTGTCCTCAGACTCTGAGGAGTCCATCAGGGAAGAGAAAAAGGAAGATGCGAAAAATCAGCAGCCAGTACAGTCTCGCAGCTGGAGTGATACTGAACCAAGCAGGAGTTTCTCGCCACGTTCTCCCACACATAAGGAGGATGTAGGTAGTTATAGAAACTGCTTATCTCCCGCAGTTGAGAAGATGGAGCCAAAAGACAGTGAGAAGAACAAATGTAAAGTAAAAGACCTGTCTCCACAGGACTTGAGCTGGAGTCCCTCTCCAGG